ACATGAAATCAGATTAAATTATCTAAAACAAATTGAGTCGCAAACGCAACACAAAGCCAACAACAACTTTGACTAGGGGCGATTGCAGAGTTATTTGTGGGAGGGGGCTAGAGAGGAAGAAGAAGAAGATCAAGCAGCTTGCATGGAAGTGCCGAATACTAAATACCCTTGCAGACTTTTGCAGAGACTTTGCGATTCTTTCAACTGAGTTAAGAGTTATATCATTTATCTGGCCGGAGTTGTCGCCAGACTGAAAATACCCTTTTGCAGGGCTTTAAGCCTTTGCTCTCAGCTGCGCTGCCCGCAGACAGCATATGTGGGGAGTCGTCCTTTTCTGGCTGGATATTCTGGCCAAAAGTTGAGTTCCTGGCCGCGGGCTTGTTGCCAACAAAGCCACGATAAAAACATTCTTTCAGTTTATTAAAACGGTTCGTTGGCTCGTTTTGCGTTTTGGGTGCTTAACTTTTGTCTGTTTTGTGGCCAATCGCCAACCAACCTACCCACTCCCCGCCCTGACCAGACGACACACCCCTGCTCGTTTCCATTAAAGCTCAACGAAGCGCTCATGAAAACACTTTTAATTGCCTTTTAATTGTTTTTGCAAAATGTGATTTCACAGCCATAACGGGACTCGGCACACACACATTTGGCCTAATTACATTTTAGCCTTTTGTACATTGGCTGTCTCTGCAAAAGTGGGCGTGTTGGCCGCCCGCCGCCCGCAACCCCCTCCCCGGTATATCGAAGCACGCGAGCGCACATTTTGTCATTTAATGGACCACTGGGCGCATGATTTGATTGGGCCAGTGACACAGTTTGAGATACATTTGGCTACAAATTTGCAGTTGAATATTTTGATTAGCGCCCCAAGCGACACCGGCAACAATAAACATCACATCAGACAACTAAGAAGAACCAATAATTAATGCTTCGTTAGGCAATTCGAATGGAATTGAGATTGCTTTTTGTCTAAACTTCAAGTTCAAGGGCGGAACTCAGTCTCAACTCAGCTGGCATATTATGACTTGTACCGCTTGGATGGGTCTTGGGTAGCTTTATTGCTTTCCCATCTGATGTAATCCGAGGTGGTGGCACGTGAGCTCGACTGCTATCCAAATTTGTGTTATAAATATACTCTCCGTGCTAAGAAGTTCCATCTTATAATTTACTTTAACATATAAATATGTAGTCTTTAAGTATTATTATTTATAATATTTCTTGATATTCTTTACTTTATTATTATTACTATTATTAATATTATTATTATTATTATGATTATATTAAGAGGAAATAAACAAGACAGTCTGGATTCAGATAAAAAAAGGAGATCTCTTTTAGCGCAAAGTATCCTCCACTTCGTGGTAAATCGAAAGCTTTTCCGAATTGACGATAGACTTGATTGGGGGATTTTTTTGAAAATGCCATCCCCACACACACTAGAAGGACCTACATTCAAGATTTCAAGTCTCTAGCTCTTAGGGGGTCTGAGATCGACGCGATCATACATATAGACAGATATATATACTTTAGGGTGTCGGAGTTGCTTTCTTCTGCCTATGGCATACATTTGCACAAAAACATGAATTCTGGGTATAAAAACGATTGTAGATAGTTGTATTTTTAGTTTTGAAAATCAGTTTCGAAATTCAAGCTTGATAAGTTGGACAGGTATCCAATAATTTATATATTCCTTAACTCATTACGCTAAGCAGTAACTTTATTATTTTAAAGATCAAAAAGATCTGTATACGAGAACCTACGTTCAAAATTTGTAGTCTCTAGCCCTTATAGTCTCTGAGATCGGTTTATTCATACAAACGATCAGACGTACAAAAGGGCATGGCCCATGTTCGATTGGGCTATTAATGTAAATAAAGAATTTTTTATGAGCAGCTTAAGTTTATTCTAGCCTTATTACAAATCTGTCCAAATTAGAAGCTCTGGTTTTGCTTTGCTTAAGATCTACATTGGCAAAAATTGTATTATTGCTTTGCTTGGATTACCAGAGAGAGAAAAGAGAGAAAAGCATCAACAAAAGTTTCAAGGACTTGTGTAGTTAAATATATGTACACCACTACACGATCCTTTCTGCTTCTTGAAAATTGAAAATGTATTTCGCTGTGGCTTTAATTTAACTAACCGTTCGTAGCGCTTATCTGTCCATCAGCTGCATGGCTCGAAACATTTATCGATGCCATAACAAAACGCGACGGCGCATAATATACTAGATGATAGATACTATAATGAGCACACCGAGCCACAGGAGGAGGTATGTCCGTCCGTCCAGAGCCGGCTCATAAATGTGTGCTGTGGGAGCTGGCGCAGTGCGTATACGCTATCACGGATTTTGTATCTGAGTGTCTAATGTGAATGTATCTGCAGGCGAGCAGATGTTGTTGTAGCTGTTGTTGTAGCTGTTATTGTTGTTGCGACACAATCGCAATCAGTAGCCGTAGTTGGCACGAAGCCTCTCGTAATGCAATTATCCTAAATGCTCAACCAACTACTCAAAAAGTCATCGTTCAGATTTAACAAGAGCCAAGCAGCGGCAACTGCCAGCTGCACCACCGACACCGGTTTCACATACAAAAGCCTCGTGCAATGCGGCCCGAACGAGATACGGACACGGACACGGATACGGCAATGGCACTGGGCTCAACCTCTGCCAATATGGTTACATGCCCCTATATATATATCTATATACAAGCCTATGGCGGCGTCGTGTCAATGGCGAATACATATGTACAGCAGCTCCAAGGGCAGCGGGTCGCGGATCGCGGGCTGGTTTTTGTGGCATGGGCTTTGGCATGGGCACGGACACGGTTACGGGCACGCCTCTGCATGGCGGCAATTTGAAAACTCATTTACTTGTGGCATGTAAACAACTAATCTGTTAACACTCTACACAAGGCGCGAACCTTGCAGCACAGTGGGTAGTGGGTACCCCTAATGTTTCACTCCCCCTGCCCCCTACCCATCCGTCTCTTGCGCTGGCAAACCGCGCTTGTAAATATTTCCCTTATTTGACGGCATAATCAAAAGTTTTTCTTTACTTTTTCGCTTTGCTTTTCTTTCGTTCTTTTTTTTTTTGCCAAAATGAAACCTGAATTTCGTATTCGGCCCGGATTTAGGGGTTAGCTGGGTTAGATTGGGTTGGTTTCGCAGCAGAGACGCAGTCAGAGCCCCGAACCCGGCCACGGCCACATAATATCAAACATTTTGCTACACTTATACAATATGTTGACGTGACAGTGGGCGAAAAGTTGCGAAAAGTGATTAAAGCTTAAAATTTAACATTTCATAACTTTGAGAATTTATTTTATATTATTTATTATTTATCATATAGAATTTTAAGAGCTCTTACTTCTTATTAGAAATAACTACGGATTAAACTTTTCAAAACTTCAAAAATGTATTATATGCTATTTATTATTATTATTTATTATATAGAATTTGGAGAGCTTTTACTTCTTTTTATAAATTACTAATTGATTTGTAAAAGAAATTTAAGTTAACAACTTTCATATTCTAGAAATTTAAAAGTAGACAACATTTAACCTCAAGAATATTAAAAATTTTACCTTAATTTGAGCTATTTGTTACAATGTTTCTGTAATTATTTGAAAGCTTTCCCCAAAGTTTGCATTAAATAAAAACTGTATATCTACATTAATTATTGATGTAAGCATTATAAACCAATTACACTTTGAATTAAGCACAATATTTTGTTTAGCCTATATCGAAAGCAAATAGTTTGACGCTTAAGTAAATAGATGTGTTACACTTCAATAGGGGCCCACATTTATTAGCAATGGGTTCGAACCACTGTGCAGCTGGGTGCTGCTGCTGCTGCTGTTCCCGTTGCTGCCGCTTTATTTGATTTCTTTATCAAAATATCAACGAGCTGCTGCCTCACTCATCACCCTTACCCCACCCCCTGAGCGAGCTCCCTTGCAATTGCAACTGTATGTATTCATGCATGTGTGTGTGTGTGTGTGTGTGTGTGTGTGTGTGTGTGTGTGTATGTGTGCATGCATGTGTAGTAGGGCTTATATACATTTCATTTAAACGCAACCGGGGCTGACTACCACCGCAGCCGCAATGCCGCCGCGCGAGCGAGACAGTCAGACAGCCAGCCCCATGCCCTGCCCGCATGTTAGAGCGAGACGACTAGCTACGCACTGGCTGGCTGAATCGGGCAGGCCACTCAGCGCAGTGCAAGTTTAGTGCCCCAGGAACGCCTACCCAACAGCCTCTGCCCTGGTATGGTGGTGTTTCAGTATCCGTATCTGTTACAGTGTGCGTGTGTGTGTGTGTGTGTGTGGCAACTCGTTTCTGTAGCTGTAGCTGTATTTGTAGCTGTATCTGTATCTGGCAGCTGACAGCAGTAGCTGGTAGCTGGTAGCTGCTGCTGCTGGCTCTGTTGCTGCCAGAGTATCTGTATCTGTGGCGCGTCATTGTTGTGCGTTGCCGTTGCCATCGTAACCAACGCCGTCGCCGTCATCGTCGTCGTCGTCGTCGCCGTCGTCGTCCATCGCATAGTAGGCAGCTCAGTTACAAGACCATTATTTGACGTATTTTTTGTGCGCTCGGTTGTACGTTTGGTTGGCTCGCTCGCCTGGTTATATCCATAGCACGCCCCAGCTAGGTCTCAGTGCGAACGCAATCCGGATTTGGATCAGCAGCCGCCGCAGCCGCAGCCAGTTGCACATTCGTTGTTGTCGGTCGGGTATCGCGGGCAACAAGGATTCCCCAAAGCGTCGCGCGTGATCGATCCTCCCAATATGCCCAGCTAATCACCTTAAAAAACGTGCTAAACAGATATATAATTATATATAAATATATATAGAGAGAGCGAGAGAGAGATCTAGTGACTGTGATCGTTATAAATAGATATATACAAATTGTGTGCGGTTTTAAATTGAGTGCTCGCTGCAAAATTGATTCGCTTTGGTTGGGAATAGTATGCGAATTAGTTCACAGTGGATTCAACGCATAAAATGGCCGTTGGACCGACGGAGGGCAAACAGCCGCCCTCAGAGACATTCTCGCCCACACACCATCAGATTATAGCACCCAGTCCGATATTGGCGGTGCCGACGCTCGCCTTCTCCGCCGCCCAGGTGGAGATCGTATGCAAGACATTGGAAGATTCGGGCGATATCGAGCGTCTGGCACGTTTCCTATGGAGTTTGCCGGTGGCATTGCCCAACATGCACGAGATACTCAACTGCGAGGCGGTGCTCCGGGCCCGGGCAGTTGTCGCCTATCATGTCGGTAACTTCAGGTAGGCGAGATGCTCCACACACACACAAATTGCCATTTAGCCAAACTGAAAGGGGGACAAAAAAACGAAAGCCCACGGCTCAAATAACAGCTCTGATTAACCTCGACTCGAGCTGGCCGGGCGACAGGGCTGAGGGGTTCGGTTAGAGCACATTTGGTTATTCGATAGTTTAGGCTTTGTCTGTGTGCGTTTGGACACGTAATGAGAGCACACAATGAGCTCCGTAAATTAATAAACAATGGCATTAATTTACTAATTAAAGAACTCATTTGTCGAACCCAAACAAAACAGACATCGCAGCAGCAGATTTTGATTAATAAAACACCGAGCGAACAATGGCAGACCATATAGGAGTGTGCTTCGAACTTCCTCTACGCGGAATGTTTTGCATAAATTCTCAAATTTCAAACTACAACAAAAAATGGGCATTTAAATTTGCCGGAAACAGTTCATTGAAGCCATTTGAAAGCTTATCTTCCAGTTAAACCAACTTCAGATTAGCTCGAGAGCTGAGAACTGCTTCGATCCTAGAGTTTCCCACACGAATGACCCATGTAAATTGCACATCTGTATTCAGATGTGTCTGCAATTAACGGCTCTGATTGACAAACTACTTTGGCTAGTCATAGATACACAAGTCTATAATGCAATATACTGTACTTGTCACAAGATCAGGTTATTAACAAGTGGACAAACACGTCTCCGCTCCACTCACCATCTTTGAGATATCATTAAACAAATACAACACACTATGGTTAAACGTTTCATTAGAGCCCGAGTCAAGTTTGATATATTGGTTATGACAGCTGACAAACTGACAGAGAACCGTTGAGTAATGTGCTTCAAGCATTTAACATGCATGTCTAAATGTTAACTGCAGCTTAAGCTGCGCTTTCAGAGTCGCCAAGAATATTCAAAGCGTTGGCAAATGCGTGCTAAGTGCTTTTTTTAACACACACGAAATCTTTTAAAGCTTTATTTAAATAAAATAATATGGGCATACGAAGTTTTAAAAGTTAATTTAAGCAGGCTTAGCTAGTTTTAATGTACGCTTAAAACAAGTTTCGCAATTTTTTTCATATTTTGATTTAACTTTTCGGTTTCAATTGCGAAACTTTTTTTGAATTTGACAAGAAGCTGAGTTGGATCTTATAAATAAATATACATATTTATTCAAATATAAATTATATATATATAATCTATGATATATATCAAATAATCTATGATATTATCGCGATAAGCCTCGGACTACATATTTATTCTTAGTTCAAAAACTGTCACCTCAGTCTGAATCCCTGCATATAATATGGAACATAGTTCCCATAAGATACAAGTTGCACATATTCACAGCTCACTTTGAATCTCTGCTTATCCTAATGGCATATAGTCACACATATGATATAATTCCATTGCATTTGGACTCAGTTTCAGGCACTATATAGACACATATATATAATGCGATCAATCCCCGTTTCTATATTCCGCACACAAACGATTGATTCATCTGTAATCCAGATATAATCCCAAGCGAGCAAGTGATTTGATTGCTTCGAGCTGCATAAATAAATGACTTCCAATTAAAACAATTTGTTGAATTTAACTGTCAGCGACAGTCAATGAATGCTTATGAAATTGTTTCCAAATACATATAAAAAAAAATATGCTGAGCTTGGGCTACAAGAGGCGACAAGTCCATTAACCAAAGCACAGCAGGATATTTGACAGCCGGAAGGGAAGGTCCCAGGGTTGTTGCCGCCCTTAAGGGTTGCCAACACTTGACTGTTACCATATATATATATATATATATATATATAGTTATATATAGATTATTTCTGATTTGTTGAACTCCTTTTGAACAGGGAACTATATGCAATAATAGAGAATCATAAATTTACGAAGGCGTCCTATGGCAAGCTGCAGGCCATGTGGCTGGAGGCGCACTACATTGAGGCCGAGAAGCTGCGCGGCCGCTCCCTGGGTGAGTCCAAATTATACATCTACTTATTATTTAGCTATATCTATATATATCTATTCCCCATCTGATTGCAGGTCCCGTTGACAAATATCGCGTACGCAAAAAGTTTCCGCTGCCGCCGACCATTTGGGATGGTGAGCAGAAGACGCACTGTTTCAAGGAGCGCACGAGAAGTTTGCTGCGCGAATGGTACCTACAGGATCCCTATCCGAATCCAACCAAGAAACGCGAACTGGCCAAGGCCACCGGCCTGAATCCCACGCAAGTGGGCAATTGGTTCAAGAATCGCCGTCAACGCGATCGTGCCGCTGCTGCCAAGAATCGGTAAGTTGTGGCAAATGCTTCACTGCATCATCATTAGGCATAGGCGAACCCCCTAAGCACAGCTTCCAGTGTAATCCGAGCTGCCGCTGCTGGCCATATGAAAGCGTAAACTGATATCTAGCCGCATCCAAGTGGAAGTGGATGCGAGAATCTCTCTCATACAGGAGCAGCAGCAGCAGCTGCGGCAGCGGGTGCCCTGTGCTGTGGCGTTTGCGTGCCATTTCCATTTCATTGATCCGTGCCGATGTCGACGTAGTCGGCGGCGGCGACATCCATCGAAGCGTTCTCAATTTCTGCCGTTTGTTGCGGTCGTCGCTTTTGGCCACATTAAAATGACCGCCGACGATGACAACGCCAGCAGCTGCGGAGTTACAAAAACAATGTAAGCGCAGCTCTTGCTTCGCTTGAAAGGGGCAACAACAGCTAAAAAGAAAAAAAACGAGCTGTATAGAAGAAGAAAAAAAAAACTCGACCAATTCGCGCGAAGTTGAAATGAAGAAGATCTCCGCGTCGTCCACGGCCAAGTGAAAGATGGCAAGTTAAGTAGAATGACACGGCAGAAAGCCGTAAGCCCCAGCGACGATCTTCAAGTGCGCGCTGCTCCTGCAGATGCGCAAATATTTCAAGTTGCTTCTACCTGCTGTACAGCCAAAGACCCCCTCCACCCTCCCCTTTGAACTCTCCCCCCCCCCCCCCCCCCCCCCCTTCCCTTTCGCCTGACAGACAAGCATATGGCTGCTGCCGACAACAACATTTTGGCATTCTTTAGAAAACTTGCAGGTTGAAGCCGCAGCCGTGTTTATTAAGTTAGGAGCTCGCCAGCTTGCACTGAATGAATCTGCACAAAGCGCCAAGAAGAAGAGGAAGACAGTCAGTCAGCCAGCCAGTCAGTCAGTCAGGCAAGCGCCTTTCGGAGCGGGTCATTAGTTAAAATGATGGCGATTATTTCGCCTTGTAAAGTTAGCAGCGGCAACGGATACACACGCCAGCGACCATTACAACTCCATCTGCCAGCTCCAGCTCCGACTCCGACTCCGACTCCAACACAACCTTCACCAGCGACTCCTAGTTTGAGCTCAAGTCGGATTTCGAGTTTTTGGGCTCTCGTGTAGTCATCGTGCTATTAGGCAGGCCAAAGAAGACAAGAAAGCCGGCAGAGACAACAGCAACAAAAACAAGAAATAAATAACAATAAAAAATGATATAAGAAATATGAAATTAAAAGCCGTGCATACGCCAGACAGACAATCAGTCAGTCAATCAGTCAGTCAGTCAGTCAGTCAGTCAGTCAGTCAGTCAGTCATCAGCATCCACATCGACAGCGCCGGCAATAATGATGAGCAACAGCTTTTGCGAGCGACTCAACTCAGGCATTCTAACCGGAGCCCAGACAAAAGAGCGAGAGAGAGCGAGCGAGACAGACAGGCAAGTGAGAGCGAGCGAGATGGAGCAAGTAACAGGCGCTGACTTTTCAAGCATCGAGTGCTGAAAAATTGTTAACATTTTTGCTACTGCACTTGAGCGCAGACTCTTTCAACGTAGTAGCCGTACGATATACACTTTATTTATGGAGTTTTCTTCAGCTCGTTCTTCTTTTTTTGCTCCGAGTTGGTAAATCAATCAAACGAGCAACTAGACAGCAGAGGCATTAGAAAGGCGCACAGCTCCCGAAATTGAGTTATTAAGATATTAACTATGAAATATGTTAGCTACAGTTGAGCAACAAAATTTGGTCATGCTCTGTGGGCTAAAATACAAAAGTAAGGCATTACAAATTGGAAAGGGGGGGGGAGAGACTTACAAGTGGGGCTTAGCTTTAGGCCAGGTAAGGGATAATATAATCGCTGGCAATCTCTTGCCTCATTCATATATTTCCCAGTCACATTCAATACAATGCCATCTCAGATAGCTTAACTGAATTGTTCACTATTTTTCCCCAAAAGTCACTTTGTTTCACTAAATCACACGATTCTTGGTCTAATAGGAATCTTTAAAGGTTTCTAACCTTGTAGAGGGTATTCTTTTACTATTTTATAATTCAGTCATGACTTCATTTGAAGCTGGCCAGCTCGAAATTTAGATAAGTAGCTCATTAAAAACATTTTGTCTTGAAAGCATTTTGTAACCCATAGAAAAATACTCCAACAGCCCCATGAAATGTATATAAGCTATATCAATATCAAGTCCAGATCCGTCTGTCCTTCTGTGCAATCCAGTCTCTCAGTTTTTACAGTATATTCTGTATATGTTCTGCCTGACATACTTCAGAACTGACCAAATCGAACTAATCTATGAACGGTCGAAAATTAATTTCTTATATGCATTTTTCAAAATATTTCAATCAAAATTAGCATAGACTTTTATAGACTTTTATAGACATTTTCAATTGCAAGTTTAAGTAATCTTGAGGTTTATAAAAGAAATACTTAATATATTAATTTTTCAGTTTTCTAATTTATCCTTTTCTCATTTTATATGTTTTACTCTCGCCCTTGAGTAGAAAGTAGATTGAAATTTTGTCTCGAACTTGTTTGATTTTTAATAATTTATATATATTTCACTATTGTAATTATGAAAGTCTCTTGCATAGGTTGAACTCATAAAATAGGCTACTAAATGAACTTAAATTAAAACGTTTTCTACTTATTTAATGAAATTTAAGTTAATTTATCGACTTACTGAAACTAGCTTGAAGCAATATCTAGAAAAATCAAGCTTAGACGAATTTTAATTAAATCTTCGCGTAACTCAAAGAAATGTTGAAATTAGATAATTGATGGGAACAACTGTTAAGTTTTGGTTTGTTCATCTTCTGGCTAATTCAATTAGCAAGTCATAGACTTGGGTTCGTTCAATTATAAAGCGCCACTTGATGGACGATGCAGACAAGGCAGCCGGGGCGGGGCGGGGCGGGTAATTCAAAAAATCCACACAGATGATTTTATTGCGTGAATTACATAAACGAAATGCGAGCTCGTGATAGCCACTAAAGCCCCAACCCACACACAGATACACACACGGACACACACACACACACACACACACAAATGGCCAAATTAAGTAGGAGCCCACCAGAGTGGGCGGGTGTCAGTGAACAGACGAGGGGCAGCCAGCGGGGGGGGACAAGAGCAATTTGTCAAGAGGCGACCAGAAATGAAATCAACGGCAATTGAAATGGGAATAAGATTTCCAGAGTGTGTAATAAAAATGAATGGGAATAACAACAGCAATAACAACAAATAAACACGCACAACAAATATGTTGTAAATGTCAATGATCAATCAAAATATTAAACACACACTCACGCACACACACACACGTTTTGTGGCAATAGAAATTAACTGAACCTGCGGCTGGAACATAAAGAAATTGAAGGACGCGGCTGGTGGGAGCAGAGCCCAGATTGACCCTGTGAACTGGGCCCCAAAGCTCAAGAGGCTGTTCATCGATTTCCGAACAGCTCGAATTCTAACGAAAATATGTGGAATCTCCAGCCGGCCAGCCGGCCGGCCAGTCAGTCAGTCAGAAGCTGCAGCCATTGTCAATATCCAAATCCGAGTGCCCACTTGGCTGCGCGTTCGGACAGGCACACTCGAGCGCCATAAGTACCCATACCCATGCCCATGCCCAGAGCCAGAGCCGGGCACAGAGTCGAAGCCAGAGTGAGATACTCGACGATGTTTGCACAGCGCAACTACCGTTTCGGTGGCTTGTGAGAAAAATATACACGAGATACAAGATACAAGATACAAGATACAATGCATTTATAGCTGCCAAATGGCAGGAGGAGGGGGAGCAGGAAGAGGCCAGGCGGACCTGTCGAGCCTCGCCCACTTCAGCAGCGCGTAGAAAGTGTATTAAAGAAATCAATCAGATATATAAAAGAATGAGCACAAAGTTTAAGAGTCATTCGAGAGTCGAACACCGGATGTGAATGTGATTGTGTACGAGTGTATGTGTGTGTGTGTTTGTGTGTTTGTGTGTGTGTTGACAAGTGAAATGTATAACGAGAAGCTGGCAAAGTAACTGTGCAAATAGCTGAAACTGGAACTGAGCAAAAGATAACAAAATATTCAAATTGTACAAATTTAAATCCTGTTTGTCAACAGATCGAAGCAAAAAAAAAAAAAAAAAAGAAAGGGACAAAATAAACGTTGATTGCGTTTAGCGCCGGGCACAAAAAAAAACCCACCCCATACCCCCCAAACCTCTCATCCCTAGCCCGGCCCGGCCCGGCACTCCATCTCCTTCCATTATTCGGTCCACTTAAGCGCTCGAACCCCTGGGATTTTCGGGCACTTCTCGGCTACTGCGACAACTGCGACTGCGACTGCGACTGCTGTCTAAATATTTACACAATTTATAACTTTCAATTTGTATGACACAATTATCGAAATGCGTTCAATCTGAATTCATTTCGCTTCAATTTGCATTTGCTGCCAAAGAACTTGCGCACGATTGTAGCTGAAACGTTAAAGAACTATTTAAGCATGACACCTTGCACTTAAATAAATATTTTAAATATTAAGAGAAATTCCGTTAAACGGAGTTAATGCTGTATCGATGTTTTGAGTCAATAAATCGATTTGTCGATGTTATTCAAAACAAATTAAGAAAGAGTTAGATCCTGTTTTCGCTAGATCCCCTCTAGGGGAACCCTCTTCTATGCGATAGCTATAATATGAAAGATACTTGATATATGTATATGTTCTATTCAAGAAGCTAGAGCTTAAAACATAGGAAAATATGTCGAAAAAAGGGTATCGATAACGATTTTTATCGATTGCTTGGAAACAGGGCAATTATCGGATACAAACTCGTAATGCAGGACCTACGTTCCAAATTTCAAGTCTCTGGGTCTTACAGGTTCTGAGATACATGTATTCATACATACCGACGGACAAACAGACAGATAGACATGGCTAGATCGGCTTGCCTATTGAAGCTTATCAAGAATCTATATACTTTATGGGGTCGGAGAAGCTTCCTTCTGCCTGTTACATACATTAGAAATATGACAAACCGCACTTGCTCATAATTGTTGTGCTTTATTCAGATTCGATTGAAAATCGATTTATCGATTTTCTACTTTAATTCAACCGATGAAACGATAACAAAACGAACTTCGCCCGCAATCGATAAAGTGTATAGATAAAAGTGCATTCAAAGTGTATCAATATTCGTTATTACGATAACAGTTAACTGCCGCTTAAGCTATTGGATACTCTATAAATCGTAGTCGGAAAATCAATTTTAATCCCGATCGATATTCATTTACATTCACAATTCAAAGCCGTATTTAATTTGAGAAAGAGTTATATACACCTCTTTCATTTTTTTTGGCTGAGTTTGGCCTATGATCAGATCATATTACCCGGCATTCTTGCAGCTGAATAAGTTTTCACAATCCCAATCCCGGAGCGACCAAATACGCATACACGAATCTTCTGACGTGAGCCGATTAAGGCATTTCAATGTCTCGGGCCTGGGCTCAGGTTACCAGCCAGGGTAACCAGTGGAGGCTTATCTCTATCTCCCTCTCTCTCTCTCTCTCTCTGTCTCGCTCTGTGAATGTCACTCAGGCTGTGTTGTGTCCACGCGGGTAATTACATACGTGTCATTTCAGTTTCGGTTAGGTGCCACAGTATCAGATTCCCAGACAGGCAAACCCTTTGGCTCTCTTTCTCTCTCTGATCTCCCGAGTCAATTGTTTGGAAAATATATATGATATTGCCAGCTCCAAGCCTTTTGTTTTTGGCTCAAGCCAAGCGAAAACACGGCCTTGGAGCAGCAGCGCCCGTGCCAGAGCTCTCGAGTGGATTACCGCAGGAGCAGCAAGGTTCTGACTTGGTCTGGCTCTGAGCTTCATTGAGGCGTAATCGCTACCGCTAAAGGCTACAATTTCACAACAGTTGGCGGCCATTTTCAGTGGTTTTGACCCACCGCAAACTGTTTCGGCTTTCCCATATAAACAATATTATAAAGATTGATAATCATATGGGGCTATAATCGAAATCTCAGCAGCGGGTAGCTGCAGTCGTTTGATCTGTGCCATGTGTAATTCATCAGCGGCATGGCCAGAGTGTCAAGTGGTAAATGGTAATCCATCAAGTTGGCGCATTAGGCAACTAAACGATTCCATTTTCCAGCAGCAACAATCAGTAAAGGAGGGGGGGCAAAAAAAAAAAAAAACCACGGCCAAAAGGTAGCCGCAGATACATTTCGTAGCTCCAGCCGAGTTGTGACTGCGACGGGTTGCCCGGCATTGCCAAGGCATCATTAATCACACAACACGAGCCGCAAAAGGACAGAGGCTGTGGAGTCTGGAGCCTGGAGTCGGCCTGGAGTCGGGGGCATTATTAATGCTGATGGGTCAACAAATTGCGGCAAGTTGAGCGAATCCTAACCGATAATTATGACAGTGCAGGCGTCATGCGGCGTGATGCAGATGATGATGTATATCAGGCCGAGCACCGAGCTGCGAACACCGCACTCTGATGACTCTATAAATATGCCGACATTGCCACCGTCTTCTAATCAAGTCATCTTTTTGTGTGTGTGTCCATGGGGCACTCCTTTGTTTTGGCCACAGATAATTTGTCTTAAGCATGTGTGAAAGTTGCGTCCGATTTATGTGCCTGCTGCCTGCTGCCTGCCGCCCCCTGCCGAGCCGAACGACAAATGAGCCGCCAAATGGGCGTGGCGCAGAGAGCCCGCGGTGCAACACAACGTGCAACACATGCAACACGCTGTCCACATTCACTAATTAACACAACTTAACTTAAAAGGCGCTTTTCATTTAATAACTGGGAATACAGAAAACAAAAAACTCTCACAATTCACAATTTAAGGAAGCTTTTTTTCGGATTACTTCAATTTGTTATGGATTCCCAATTGATGTTCTCTTTTGGATAAATAAACGATTAAACGCTAGATTTGGCATATTTGTATCTCCAGATAGATTATATAAATCTAATGGATCAATCATTAATATTATCTAGTTAACGTTCAAGCTGAAGCGTGAAAATGGAGGCGCTGAGTGGCATTTAGTGGAGCATAATATATTATATAAACATTTTCAATTTCTTACAGTCGGATTTTTATGAAAGTTTCAGTGCTCAAACGTGAAGTACAAAATTATTTATACCATAATAATAATCCCCCAGGTCTACCTCCTTAAATGAGTTCCCTTCAATTTCAAAGGATATGTAGGCAGTTATCCAAATAGAGAAATATTTATAATGTGCATATAAGACTGTTTATAGCCTTAAGCTTACATTGCTCAAAATCGATATTTATCGATATTATGAAAATGGGTAGAGATATCGAACAGAAATACAAACTCCTTCTGCGTAAAATATACGGGAATCTGTAGTTCAAATCTTAAGCTAAACATACAGAGGGACAGACGGATAAGGCTAGATCGACTCAGCTTGTTGATCGAATAAAGAAAAATATGATATACAGATATGTGAAATCAGGGATGCTCCTCACTTCCACAAGCAATGTTACACATTTTCAATGGATTAGTGGTATACAGAAAGGCAAATTCACACCTGGAGATTTTAAGAGTCAATCTACATTTTTTTTATTACAATCTATAATACTTCCCCTAATGGAAATACATTCGGAGATGTAAATGAGCCGATATAAACGTGCATATGTTTCTATGCCAAGTAGTTTCCCAGTTTTATAGATAGTTTGATAAAACTGCCAACAACTTGGCAACATTCGAAAGTTATCAACAAAGGAATACAATCTAGGAATAATTGCTCAAACATGGAATTAAATCTTCCTATGACAAGAACTGATTAAATTGTAGTCCATATTTAAGAATTATACAAATTAATATATATCTAACAAAAAACCGGTTTTTTATTTCCTTACAGCATTCAGCACAACCAGAACAACTCGGGCATGGGCTGCCGCAGCCGTCGGGCGGATGGCGCCGCCTCGCCCACACCCTCGGACAGCTCCGATTCGGATATATCGCTGGGCACGCACTCGCCGGTGCCGAGCAGCCTGCAGCTGCAGCACAGTCCGGGCAGCATGTCGAACGGCGCCAACGAGGAGAGCCTCAGCGTGGACGATGACAAGCCGCGGGACTTGAGCAGCGCCCTGCCCTCGCCCACCCCGCCGCAGCTGCCGTCGGCCTATGCAGCTGCAGCTGGAGCAGGAACTGGCGGCGCTGGCGGGCTGCCGGCGGGCTGTTTGCCGCCTTTCAAGCTGGATGCGGCCAGCAGCCTGTTCAATGCTGGCTGCTACCTGCAAAGCTTTAGCAACCTGAAGGAGATGTCCCAACAGTTCCCCATACAGCCGATTGTCATCAGGCCGCATCCGCAGCTGCCGCAGCCGCTGGCGCTGAACGGCAGCGCAGCCGGCGCGCCGCATCTGCATCATCCGGCCTATGCGGCCGCCTACAGTGTCGAGTGCGGCGTGGTGGCGCCTCCGCCGCCGCCGCCCAAGCTGCGCATCAATTCGCCGGAGAAGCTCAACTCGACGGCGGTGGCAGCCGCGGCGGCGGCCGTGGCCGCCTGCGCTGGAGCGGCACACGAGATCAGCAGCAGCGGCAACAATACGACCACGACCACGACGACAACGGGCTATCATCACAGCGCCCAGCTGCTGCTGCACAGGCCGTTCTCCACGTCGCCCGAGCTGAAGCATAGCGCGCCCGAGATTACATGATATCAGAGGGTTTGAGGCGTCGGCCTTGCCCCGAGGGTTTCTCAGCACAGTCCCTGCCCCTGGCCCAGCTCCTGCTCCGAACGCTCCCACTTGCACTAAGGCCCAGCTAATCGAATTGTTTCAATTTTTAGTTTAAGTCAAAACGCGTCGTTTAAGCCACAACTTCGGGCAGCTCGAGCGCCCGAAAGCAATAACAGCCGCAACGATCGCAGCCAACTTCATGTCAGATCCTGCATCCTGTCACGGCCTGTTTCCTAACACAAACACAGTACACATATATATATATATATATATATGCTGCAGCTAAGGAAATATCGAATATATATATATATACATACTATATATATATACTATATATATATTAAACATCGTCGCACACTTTTCAAAGATAGTTATTTAAGATTTACGCATACGATAAAAATCAAATTGGGAAACTAAAAAGAAAAAGAAAAACAGCAACAAAGAAAATTAAGCAAAATCAACTGAAAATTTGAACAAGTTTTTCATTCTAATTTCTGTGTGTGTACGTACTTGTAAATAGAGTTTAAGTATGCAAATCATAGTGCTTACGTATACATTTAGAATGCAATAAAAACAACAACTAAAAACACAAAACAAAAAAACAAACAAACAAACGAAATGAAACAGTTAAGAATTTAAATCATTACCGAAAATATGAAAAGCGCTTTTTTTATTCAAATGGAAGCTGGATTTTTCAGGTGGCAGCGAAAAGAAGGGTCTTAAAAGTTCTCAGCTAAAACCAAGCTCAAAATATGAGCATGTGTCGATGTTATTTGTGATGGAAATGATAGAAAATTTAAGTATGTTTCTTGACTCTCTGTTTAAGCATAAAAGAGTAGCCTTTAAATATATTAAAGCTTAAGGGGGAAACACAAGATTTGAATTTGTTTTTACGCCAAATAAAGATACATTTAAATTTACTCACAAAGGAAACGAATGTTACGCCCCAAATTTGCAAGGGCTTCTAAAGAACTTCTAAAAAGAAGTTTTCTAAAATTGAATGATCGTCGAATCAAGTAGTCGTGGAACTGTATATCCTTAGGCTCAGCAAAATTGTAGCCTGAAAACGAAGCTTTTTATCAACATATCCTACAGATATCCAGCTCAACAGTTGATTCAGGCTGGAACTTCTCATTCTTCTCTCTGTAATCGACGATCTCTCCCCCTCTCTCTCTCGCTCTCTCTCTCTCTCTCCGGCAGTTGGCATTTCCTTCTAGTTATATGTTTGTATTTTGAAATAAAATATCAATTTCTGTGTAAACAACAACAAACGTTGACTGCCAGCGAGCCATAAATGCAGCTCCAGAAGTCATCTGCAACAACAGGCCAAGACAAACAATAACATCAAAGGCAAAATAATATGTATATATATGCATATATATTGTACATATATCAGCGAAATAAAGCCTGGGCATATTGTAGATGGTAAGAGGTGCCTTTCGTCGTCGGCATTTGGTTGAACACTGGCGCCAACGATGACATGTCCTACTTGAGTGGTTTACTTAGCTGCCTTATGAAAATATCCGTGTGGTGGGCAAACACACACAGCAGATCGCAGCGAGATCAGGCCAACAGTCCATAAGATCCATAAATGAGTCTACGGCCAGACGGCAGCCAGGCAGGCAGGCCGGCCACCAAAAACTGACGCGTCACTGTCACTCACACACAAATGCAACGCATCATCATCGTCATTATGTGGCTGGAAGAGTGCCCTGGGAAACATATTTGGAAGAACAAAAATATATATAGAATCTACCTATATGCATATGCGATATAATCTGTAGCGCAGGCAGCCTTGGCTCCAGTTTGGGTGGGGGTTGGGGTAGACCGCCTAGATGACTGACTGACTGGCTGGCTGACTGACTGACTAGTTGGATAAGTGCTTCCTTCTTGCAACAAATTTTGGGCTCAAATTACAAGGTGAGCGAGCCATGTGGAAGTTGTCAGTCAGCCAGTCAGACACTTGAAAGCGCTGCAATTATCAGTAGCTGGCGCTGGGCCCAGCATATTGTGTATACGCCGCATTGTCAGTTAATTTTCGCCTTTCAGGCGTTTCTCTAGTTTTAGTTTTCGGCGCCGTCGCCCCGTCGACCCGTCACCCCGTCTCCTTCGCAACGTCATCGTCATCATTAAGAATGATGTGACACTTTTGACCTCATTTTCCCCCCACCCCCGCAAAACACACACACACTTCTAACGTTTTTGTTGTCGTCGCCAACTGCAGCAATCGATAGTCGATAAAAGTGAGCGATAACATTTTCGATAGTTTGTCATGCATTTTAATCAGCCTAGCGTAGCTTTTGTTCTTGACTCTAAATGACATCCGTCGATAGTCGAAAAATGTGAGCGATGGCATTTTCGATAGTTCGTCATGCATTTTAATTAGCCTAGCCTAGCTTTTGTTCTTGACTCAAAGTAGTCTCCGTCGATAGTCGATAAATGTGAGCGATGTCATATTCGATTTATCGATATTTCGACATGCATTTTAATTGGCTATTCGTTGTGTTTTTTTTTTGTTTCTGGCTAAAAAAGGCATCTGTCGCCGCGTAATTAATTTTACACTCGTGTGTTGCAAGCGCATTCCAAGGCTATTTACTCGCAGCAGCTAAAACAACAAACATTCAAGTGTTGCAACGTCTTTTCGACTTTTTTTCTATCAAATTAATGCGCTACAGCCCGAGCCGAGCGCGGCTGTGTCCTGCCTTTTGGGTGGTTATTTCGATTTACATATTTACAAGGCGACTCAATTAGTTAAACCACAAAATTCGAAAGCCGACATCGGCCGCGACACAAGGTTTACACATTTAAAATTGAATTTATGCACCCTCCTATCCATCAAATGGTTTCTCTCAATTTATTTAGCGTACCTCCAACTTCAGCTTCAATTGCGGCCTCTGCAACTCCCCCGCCTGTCATAACAGTGGGTCGCATAGCTATTAGTACACACAAAATATTTAGATATTTTCAATTAAATATTGTATTGTTTGCTTGCTCAAATTGTCTATAATTTAGTCGAAAGAAAGTTGAATTAATTAGTTAAATGAAAGTTATATGAATGGAATATAAATGAATGTTATTCATTTTGGTCTAATAAAGGGAAGGTGTGGGGTACTATTCCATCTCCATTGACACGAATATATTATTTGAATCTAGCAAATGTTGTTTTTCCAAATATTGTTTTGTTTATTATTACAAATTAAACTAAGCCACAGACAACTTATGTTAAATAAATCATGCAATCCATGCTTATGATAATAAAAATTGCTTCTGTTTTAAAATGTGAAGTAATAAAGGCTTAGTAAACGTATTTGGTAGAGTTTTCACTTTGCTTAACCGATAAATTTATAAAATTAAATTTCATTCTAGTTCTCTTTAATTTGTCGGAAATCAGTTATGAAAACGAGACTCACTTGATTATAGCTCCTTGTCACTTGGCATTTAACAAATTATTGTCAACTGTTCAATAAATTAGTAACCAATTAATGTGATTCGCCCCACTGTGCCAGCTTATTGGCTTCGCGCATACATTGACTAAAAGCAACAGAGACTCGCAGACAAAATTCGCGCCTTCCGTTAACATAACGTTTCCCACTCCCAACTCCCGACTCCCATTGCTATTCCCTGATATACCCTCACCATTTACCATTTGATGCTCACATCTGGAAATCTTTTGCTCAGTTTTAGGTCGTTGCGCGTACGGAACGAGGGGAGGGGGAATGGGAGGGGGGGAGCGAACAAATGAACCCCATCATTAAGTGCGTAAATGTACTGTAAATAGACAAACGCGTTTTGAATAAATTTTTAACAAAAAAACCCAAACGTAAAGAGTTGCATGCCTCTGGGGTTGAATGTGCCCCGGCGGGCGGATGAGGGGCAGGCGGGCGGTTCATTGAGTGGGGTACGAGGGGAAGGCAATGCAAATTCCCTGGGCAAACAGACAAAACCAGACAGCTTCCAGCCCGGGCGGGCATCTGTGGAACTGTGGCGGTCAACAGGGCGTAGAATCAATAAGGCAACAAAAGGCTGAAGGCCTGCTGGAGGTGGGGATTGGAGCAGGGGCAAAGAGTGGGGCCAGCGGGTGGCGGGTCACAGTGGGTATTATTATGATAATTTGGCGTGACAAATTGAAGAAGAACTTTCAGCATTGTCACAATATTTGCAGCAGCAAATGCGCAAGGCAAACACTTCACACATGCCACAAGGCAAAAACCCTTTTCTCGACTAGAGATTAGATGCGGCCCAGACGCTGGCCAGTGGGCGTGGCAAGTGCTGCTCATTAGGAAGACGAATAAAGGCGTGTGTGCGTGCGCCTGCTTATGGTTACAAATAATTTGACACTTGTCTTAATTGTCATTGAGCAGGAGAAATCCAAACTGAAATACGAGCGAAATGAAAAAGAAAACCCAAATTCTCTCACCCTCTCTCACTCTCTCTCCCGCTCTCTCGCTGTCTCTTTCTCGCTGCCGTGTGGCATTGTTACCTTGGTTGGCGCGTCTAATGAGATTTGCGCCCAAGGAGTCAGATTCGGGCGAAAGGTGCAAAGCAGGCAAAGGTACGCCGAGGCAGGCGTCGATGCGTAATTCATAAAACCATTGAAAAGGCAAAAAGGAACCCTGAGCTCTCCCTCTCTCTATATCTATCTCTGTCTATCTATCTAGATGCTGTCTTTGTTGCGCCCGTCAAGCCAAACAAAGGCGTTGGACATGAGGCGTGGCTGTTGTGGCTGTTACTTGGGTATTGGACACAAGACGATCCGTGCTAAAGAGCTCCAGACCCTGGTCTCGCCCATTGCGGTTGCACAGCCTCCGCTCATCCTCAAACCTCAATGCTCGGCTCTCGTCCTGCTGCCTGATGCCCGAACAAAAGCACTCAGCAAACTGATTGAAACATTTCCGCTGTTTGTTATTCTTGCCAGCGACTGGATTTACAGATTTTCCAAACGGATTAGGCAGAAAGGAACCAAAAAAAAAAAGGGAAAAGAAAATAAAATGGAAATAGAAATAGAAAGAAACGGTACATGGTTTTCGAAATGTGCGTACCCCTGATCTTGGCCAGGCGATTATTGCGGCCAGACAAATTGCAAATTGTTTTATAGTTTCCATACCCTGTAGCCTGTTTAAAGTATGCTTAAAGATGAATGCAATAGAGTTGTATATGTGTATGTTGCAGTCAATAGGAAGCATTTTTGAATCCATAAAATATTCATATATACACTGGTTCGAGCAAA